AGTCACAGGTGGCCTCAAGAAAATAATATATTTTGACGTGTCGCGCTAGCTGGTTGCTAGGCAGCAGTAAACAACTCCGGACAGCGTTGCTAGCAACACGGCACCACACAACAGTGGTGCCTATTACGGGGGTTTTCTGCGTTGTCTGGAATGAGGCTAGATATGGAGCAGCAAAGACTATTCACAATCAGTTCTGCGTTAGTTCCGAGTCAGTTCCGAGCAAGCCTACGAGTCAGAGTGTGTGATCAACAAAGTTCTCAATCTAGCCAGCGGAGAGTAACGAGTTAGCCAGCAACCAGTCAGTTGTATTCTGGCATTTGCAGTGTAGTATTTGTGATACTGCAGATAGCAGTAATTGTGAATCTGTAATTTGGGTGATTGTAAGTGCGAATGTGAAATAAAATTCGCTATATCAAATACGGCGTGAAGTTATTTGTTGCGTTATATACACCCAACACGTGACAATATATATTTATATAAAAAACTAACTACCGTGTCGCCGCCACGCCATCCCCCCGATAGCTGGCAACTGTAAACCCCCAACGTCTGCGGCCAGACCCAGAGTATGCCGAAACGCAATTTTGGAACAAGACCCCTCTGAACTGAAATTTAGAAAATATCCCTGGCTGATCCACCAGACGTGCTTACCCAAGTGGATCCACTTATCAGACTAAGACCTCGCACTCCAACATATTCTGTCCCGAGACACGGGTAGAAAGGAAGGGGAAATCACGTGGTCTTCGGGAGAGAAGGAGGGGGTGAGCTTAGGATCGTGAAAGAAAGGGTGGTGCGAAGATATGACTGGAAGCCATGACGTCACTCATTACACGAGCTGGTCCATGCTCGGCTCAAGAGATAATACTGAGGAAATGACTTGGTGCCTGTGTGCTGTAGTAATGCGACTAGTCAGCTTTGGAATATGCATATTTTTTACAGAAATGTTCTCATATCTGTTACAGATGTTGAGATAAGGAAACATTTTTGGATGTAATGTCTCGGTTACAGATCTGGCTACAAATCCAGAGGTCTGGGTTCGATTCCCGGCGTTACCAGACTTTCTGAGAAGTAGTTCTGGAACGGGGTCCACCCAGCCTCGTGAGGAATTGAGGAGCTCTTTCAAGGAAATAGTGGCGCCGGTCTAGAAAACATAGATTAATGACCATGGGGATTCGTTGTGCTGACCACGCACTAAAGTTGGCACTAACTTCGCTGACAAGCAGTGGTTGCTTGCTCAGTATAGTTTGCTTGCGGACTACAGACCATGGAGTTTCTTTTTTCTTTTTTAGCTGTTAGTCTCTGTAAATGTGTTGAATTTTCCCAGAATTTTTAGATCTTATATGCAGATGTTATCCGGATTTATATCTGCAGGTTTTGTTGTTGGATATGGTTCTGTTCGTATGCTGAAAGTGTTCCGTGTACAAATAAGTTTGGTAGATATTGTCATGCTTAGATACAATGGTATTTATCTTGTATTAACAATTTTTAGTTCATACAGATTTTGCTCTTAACCGAGCCTATTGTTGTATTTGGTTAGATTATAAAACATCTTATGTGGGGGAAGATGTAACAAGGTTACACTGCAGTGTAGTATGAATGTGAATTTTTTTCCTGTTCAGTATGATGAAGTTGTTCCTGAGGAGATGACTACAGCACATGGTGGCTTCTACATTAACTGTGGTGCTCTGGAGTTCAAAGAGATTTCTGACCAGTCAGACGCTGAGGAGTTGAAGGAACTGAAAACAAAGAAACGATTGAAGGTAACACCAAATTTTGTTCTATATATGATATAAACTCCGTCCTAAGTGCAACAATATATTGTAGGCCTTTCGTCTTGCTTTCTTTTACACCAGATGTTTCGGCCGCAAATGGCCATCATCAGGTGTATACACTCACATAGCTGTTACACTGCACCCAGTTTAAAATTAAATATAATATAATATAATATTGTAAATTTTGTTCTGTTTGTATTGTGTGAGATACTCAAGGTCATTGTAAGATGATTTTGTGAGAATTGCGATTTATGGCTCCTCAGTAGTGTTGCAGTTGCTATACAGTAAATCTGTGATCATTTTAGATGTAATAATTTGTAAGAGAGAAATTTTATAGTGTCAGAACATTTGCATTGCAGACACTGAAAATTTGAGGTGTGTCAGCAAGGTGTATGTATGTGCAATTTTCAGTTTGGAGAGTGTCAAAAAAATTAAAATCTACATTCTATTTCATGGACCTAGAATAAATTATTTTGTTGCCATGAAGGTGGTCAGATATTCTTTTGTAGCTACATTTTGTAAAGGTAACGCTACCCCTGCAACAGGCCTTGAAGACCCATGGGGTTGTGAGATGTCGAGGCTCCCACATTTTCTTTAGACAGTCAGCTCACGGATGGTGGCAAGGGTATCAGCCTTAAGCGCCAGCCGTCCTTTACCCCCCAGGAAGATTCGTGGTACTCATTTCTATTAGAGGCTGAGTCGACCTCAGGGCCATAGTGTGGCTGGAAGGATTAGGTCAATTGAAAATGAAAACACCTCATCGGGACTCAAACCCATGATTTCGTGGCTTGTAGCATAGTGCCTCAACCAACTATGCTACTGCGTTCCCCGGGATCCTTATATGTACATATACCAACAACAGTGGTTATCCCTCACAAGATTCCCTGATGATGGAGGCAGTGACAGTCTTAAAAGTGTTGAACTTAGGCTTCACATTGAGGCAACTGATTGTCTGATAACATTTGTCACCTTTAGTCACCCTTCACCCCTCAGATGCTCATGGTTGTTGAGTGGAAAGCTGGCCAGAACAGAAGAATGTTCAGGTTCCTTGGGAGTTCGTTATAAGTAGGTATTTCTGAAGAATTTTATGATTTCATATGAATTTCTCTCTTTTTTTTTTTTTTAGCGTTCTTTAATTCTGCCTGAGGAGGAAGTAGATGAAGAAGGGAGAAAGGTTGCTAACAGTGTTCAGATTAAGGTGAGTAATTTGTTTCTTGCCTTTCTCTATAACGTGCAGCAGTTCTTAACTTCCATTTTCTGTCTTGATGGTTATATAAGGATGTGGGTCTGTTTCCTTCTTGATCGCACCACAACTGCATTCTATAATCAGTTCGTTAGATACATAAAATAAAAACGAAAATTGTTTGCATGTGTTTTAGCTACACTTGAATTACTTTCTACTGTGCTGCTTAACTATTGGGTATGCACTGGAATATCTCCTCATTGTATTCCACATACTTCTTATTGTGACATGCTGTTATAGTGAGGTCCATTCTAAAGTGCCACATCTTGGTGGCAGAAGTGGAACTTCTTTGTTAAAAACCTTATTTATATTTTGCAGTTAAGTCCCACTGTTATATGATTTTATGTTGCCACCACAGATGGTGGGATGAGTTTGGTACAAAAAGAAAAAGACAAACTTCATGGCCTGTAGTCCGTAAGCGAACTATACCGACCATGCGACTGTTACTTGTCGGCGAAGTTAGTGCAAACTTTTGCAGATAGAGGGTGTCACGTGGTCAGCGCAGTGAATCACCACTGCCGTTAATCTCGGTTTTCTACACTGGAGCCGCTATTTCCTTGAAATAGCTCCTCAATTATCCTCACAAGGTTGAGTGGACCCCGTTCCAGACCCGCTGCTTTTCAGAAAATCTGGTAGCCCCTCGAATCGAACCCTGGACATCTGGATCTGTAGGCAGGAACTCTGACCACTATACCACAAAGGCGTTCTGAGTTTGGTACAGATAAGAAAAATGTAAAAACTGTAGGGTGATTTTGAGTGACTGTGGACTCTTATGACCCTGGATGGTACAGGAATTTTTCTCATCATGACCACATCCATACCATATTTGGGGACCACCCAGGTTCCTATCTGGAAGGGTTAAGACAGCTGGGGGATGAAGCTAATCACTCACCTCCATGTTGTAGTGAGATCTAGAATTTGTGGACCTCCGTTCCCTCTACAAGCTATTCATGTGATGACGCTAGGTACAAGGGTAACTTTGCTTTTAGCTTTTATCTTGCAGGACCATCTTCACAGAACTGTAATCAGAAGATATCTTTGAAGTGATATAGCACATTTGGTATAGTGACGGGCTGTAGACTGGACCGCAGGGGTTCGATTCCCAGTAGGAGCAAGAGATGTTTCTCCACTCCACGACATCCATACTGCCTGTGGGTCCATCTAGCCTCCTATGCAATGGGTACCAGGGTCACTTTCCCCAGGGGTAAAACAGCCAGGGCATAAAGCTGACTACCCTCCACTGAGGTAAAGAGTGGCGAAGCTATACTTTCACTCCCCCATATGTCTTCAAGGCATATTGTTTAATTAATTAAATACAGGGACAGCTTCTACCTGTTGAAATCATTTATGAAAGAACAGTTATCTTTTTGGTGGACAAGAGTAATGACATCTTTATGAGTGTGGCAGCATTGTACCAGGAAAGTTGGGGTGAGTGATAATGCTTGAGATGTGAATATAGGACTTGAATAGTTTGAGTACCAGCTGGGACATTGTCCTCAGGTTTTTTATGGTTTTCCTCAGTTCATGTAGGTAAATGCTTCAGTAGTACCTTAGATTAAGCCATGACCTCTCTTAATTCATTAGTCACCATTCCCTTTTCATTTGAGGCTATGCAGTATAAGCCACTGACACTGTCGTTAAACCATTGCATCTTGTTAAAAGAACCAGAAGGCTCAGGTTTTGTGGTTTTCTGAGCTTGTGTGTAAGAAGGAACTCCTCAGTTTAAACTTCCTAACAAATTTTCATGGTTACTTTCAGGAAAGCCATGACTGTTTCCTTCTACATGTCCCAACTTACTCAGTAATCCTACTACATTTGAGGCTAAGGAGTTTTGACAGTTGATGGAATGTTTTAGAATGATGTAGAAAATGGTTTATGTGTGACATGAACAAGCTGTCGCTTGATTAAAATGGGTTCCAAAATATCATCTCATTATTTTGTGTATGCGGTGACAGTAAACATCTGAGTTCAGTATTATCTTGGGTTGGTAATACAGTTGGCTTCTTCGTTAACTGTGTTGTCAAGTGGAAAATTTGCCCATTGCCCTCGCTTTTGTTCCCAAACTATTTAAGTGGAAGTAATAGAAAGTATATGCCACTGGTCAAAATACTGATTTCTGTTGGTGGTAAAAATTATGTTCTTCTTGCTCAGCAATTTAATTTTTTTTTTAATTGCTTTTTGTAACATACTCTTAATGTCCATAAATGGTTGAAATGCGCAGTCTTTAGCTCTGTCTTATAACTTATCATTTTGTACTGCAGTACAGCACCAAGGTTTAGTAAGATTAATTCAAGTACAGAAAGAAAAAAGAAAACAAACTCCATGGCTTTAGTATGCAAGCGAACTATACCGACTGAGCGACCACTGCTTATCGGCGAAGTTAGTGCAAGTACAGCAATGTTTATCCTTTTTTTTATTGTGCAGGTATGAAAGTAACCAAGATTATTTCAACATTCTTAATGTCCTCAGCATTATCCGAATCAAAAAAACGAAAATGTTCTCATATTTACAAAATCTCTTGTACTTGCAACTCACAGTTTACTAGGAACCATGCTTTACTTTCTGTCCAGTAGGTCTACTTGTTGCGGACCAGCAAGGCATAAAGTTGAAGTCAGACTGGCTTGTATGTATGCTGCATTATGGATTGGTTCTAAACTCAGTGAAGTCACCTGATACTTGCACTCTGATCTCTCTTGATCTCCCTTTTGCTTGATCCAAGCTGTAAAGCCTCTTTGGGACACTGGAAGTTCTTGAAATGGCTTTTAGCAAGATAGTTTTTCATCAACTCATATGGCAGGTGATCTTTTCTTGCAAGTGTGTAAATTCAAAATCGTCATTCTCTGCAGTGTGCATTTCCTTCTGTCACTGGTCTTCCATCACATAGAATGACTGATAAATATCATGTATTTTGTATTATTCTTCAAAATGTTGCACAGTAAATAAGTTGAACAGTGTTTACATTAGTTTGTACCATTTTCATGTATTGTTCTTTGATCACACACACACACACACACACACACACGCACCCGCACACACACACACACACCCTCTCTCTCACTCACTCACTCACTCACACACACACACACACACACACTCTCTCACTCTCTCTCTCACACACACACTCTCTCTCACACTCACACTCACTCACTCACTCACTCACTCACTCACTCACTCACTCACTCACTCACTCTCACTGTTGCACAGTAAATAAGTTGAACAGTGTTTACCTTAGTTTGTACCATTTTCATGTATTGTTCTTTGATCATACACACACACACACACACTCACCCACTCACTCTCTCTGTCACTCACTCACTCTCACACACACACTCTCACACTCACTCACACACACTCTCACACTCACTCACTNGCACAGTAAATAAGTTGAACAGTGTTTACCTTAGTTTGTACCATTTTCATGTATTGTTCTTTGATCACACACACACACTCACACTCACTCACTCACACACACTCACTCACTCACTCACGCACACTCTCACACACACTCTCACACACACACTACTTCAAGCTATGTATTCAAGCCTAAGCATTTCTATTTTCTTGCTGTTCGTGGGATTAACACTTGTTAACTTAAGCAGTATCCAGCACAACGGCTGAACAATTTGCAAGTCTGATCCGTAATATGTAGTGATAAACATTTTTCACTGGCTGAAGTTGTGGTGGTGGGGAGGGCTTCATCTTGAACCCAATTTCATTAAGGGGCATTTTCGTCTATGTTCAGCAAGGACTTACATGGTGGAGTATGTGGCACTTGAACCCATTTTCATTAAGGGACATTTTCGTCTATGTTCAACAAGGACTTACATGGTGGAGTATGTGGCACTTGAACCAAATTTCATTAAGGGACATTTTCGTCTATGTTCAACAAGGACTTACATGGTGGAGTATGTGGCACAAATATCTATACTGTGTTGCCATATTGCATTTTCTGTGAAAATTGTATATCATCCAAAATTTGATCAAGGGGTGTTTTCATCTCGGTATTCATTAAGGAATATGAGGGTGGAGTCATTAGGCACGAATATCCATTCTGAGTTGCCACATCACATTCCAATACCTTCTTATTTTCTGTGAAAATTATGTCACTCAAAATTTGATGGAGGGTCATTTTCCTCATGATGTTCATCAAGGAATCGTGTGACTGTAGGCTCAAATATCCATAATGTGTTACCACGTCGATCTCAGCTGTAATCGTCCCAGTCTGCTGTGTAAGATTATACTCTGAAAAGTTTTATTCGCATATTTTATGCACAGCTTTCACACAGAAATTTCTTTTGGACAACATAGTGTGTGTGTGTGTGTGTGTGGGGGGGGGTTAATGTAAGTTACTGCAGCCTACAAAAAACAGCATTATCCTTTATATTTCTTGGAAATTACTAATATTTTGGAGCAGTAAGCATTTTCTTCTTCAGGAATAAGGGGAGTAGTTCTACACATTTCATGTCAGTATCTCTTTCAAAAATAGTTTTTTTGCAACTACAGGACTTCCTTGAAACAGAGATTAATCCACACCTTCATGCAAATGAACTGTTATCATGAAGTATTGGCAGCGGTGTTTTACAATTTATCTCCTAGTAATCTTTGACTTTAACCCATTCGCATTCATGTACCCTGCTGGCAGTCTGGCCAGGGAAACCACCATCTGATATATTCATAATATATGTCGATATAAGCCTTGTCGGTGAATTACAAAACAGTAATTCCACTGGCTTCCTGATGTCATAAGAAGCCTAGACAAGCTGTGACACAGGACTGCCTTACAATGTTGCACACTGATGGTTTTAGAAGACACTTTAAGTAATCATTTGCATTTTGTATACCAATATGCTTGTGGTAATTGTGCCCAGGTATATGGGGTCATATAGGTATGCTTATGGGTGCGAGTGGGTTAAACAGTGGCCATTATTAAATGTATTCATACTTATGCAGACATA